AAGGCAACAACGCGAGGTGCTCTGACCCTGCACCCCTCAATTCCACCTCCCTAGACCTCATCCTAACCTGGACACACCTATGCTTACAGAAAATTTTGGTCTTTTGTTCTATGTGGATATTTTGGACGGTAACTTTAAAATTTTTTAAATGTTGTTTATCTTAGGTACCAAATTTTCTGACACCTTCCTAAATTTAGTGCCTGTAGTCACACTCACCTTCCCCCAGGGCATGCCCCAGGCAGAAAGCAGCCAGGGCCCCACTGCTGAAGGGTCTGGGAAAGTGACTGGAGAGTAAGGCTCATGTCTGGCCCTGTTTGCTGATTTAAAAAAAAAAAAAAAGAAAGAAAAACACACACACACACAAAAGCTAATCTCACACTTCTGAATCTAGGCTCTAAATACTTACACTTGTAAAGGGTAGGCCTGGCTAACGAAATGAAGTTGGGACCACTCTAATCTCGATGACAGCTACCCTCTTTGTATTACAAGGTTATTAAATACCTGGTAGAGCTTAACTCTAAGTGCCTACACTCCAGCTAATCATTTCTCAGTTTAAAAAAATCTCAAAGTGAGGAACTGGAGACAAAAACATCCATGGCTGGGGCAGGCATTTGGTACAGTGGTCAGGACATTGCTTGGGCCACCCACGTCCCAAACCAGGGTCCTTGTGTTCAAGTCCTGGCTCCACTCTCCACTCCAGCTTCTTGTTAATACACACCCTGGGAAACAGCAGGTCATGGTTCAAATACTTGGGTCCCTTTCATCCACATGAGACCCAGATACAGTTCAGATTCTAGGCTTCAGCCTGGCCCAGCCCCAACTATGGCAGGCATTTGGGAAATCAATCAGCAAATGGAAATTTTCTGTTTCTCTTTTTTCTGTCTCTCTTCTTTCCAAATAAATAAATGAAAATTTAAAAGAAAGAGACTTGAAAAAAGAAATCATGCATGGTTAAAAAACAGGAAGGTAAAACTTCAAGACAAACAGGAAAAGGATCCCATGTGAGGAATTAATCCACAAATGAATCCCCAACAATTCCAATTAAATACTTTTTTGGGGGAGGAGCGCGGGAAGAGCAATAAATAATAACGTATTTTTCTAAGAGAAATTTTAAAGCACACTGCAAAACTGTAAAAGCATTTTCATTCCAAAACTTAACAGAGTCTGAGACATGAGGATTGCTGAAAATATTACATGTGCTCAGAAATTTGAAGCTCTTTCACCTTCTCCATCTCAAAACAAGACTGTAAAATATACCATCACTCCTTTCAGACTCATTTATTTTTAAGTTCAGCCCCCTGTGGCTCCCTAGAGTCCCAGTTCCCCACTCTGCAGGGTGTAGCACAAGGCAGGCACACACTCACTCCATTGCTAGGGTCTCCACATTGTCTCTCTCGTTCTTAAAAGCAGTTTAGTCTGATGACAGCATGGTTCAGTGCAGTACCACCTGCTCCACCCACAGATCTCAGATCACAGAAAATCTTAACTTTTGGAACTATGCACCTAGCTCTGATATATCTTGTATATCACAAGGTCCATCAGCAAAAAGAGAACTGCAGAGACATACAACAAGGTAGTTGTGGGCTACAACACACAGGCCAAATGGAGATTCTGCCAGTGGCCTTGTGTTCCCAACAGCAGAAAGGCAGACACAGGAAGAAGCAGCCTAGGGTCAGGCAACTCCAACTCAAGCCTTAATAGTTGCTTGGTCTTGAGCAAGTCCCAGTCTCTGAACACACATCCAAGCCAAACAGCTACCATCCAATCTGCTTCACAGGACGCCTGCGGAGGTCATGGGAGACAAATCACTATTGAAAGCTGTTAATTGCTGTACAAATTGAAGCTGCCTATGACAATTTACAGCATGGCCTCATCAGTGTGTAGAAGATACATGAATGGCATACGTAAAGTGTATGTGTGCATTTACAGTACATCTTATTCCCAAAAATACCAATCAAGATCACAACAAGCCATACAGTGGAAACCAATGTAAAGATCAAAGCTTTACACACACTGGACACAGCCCTGGAAACAACCAAGACCCACAACAAATTACTATTTATAAAGCACCTTAACTCTGATGGTATTAGAATTGTCTTCATTGGATGAGAATTCCTCCCCTCTCTCTTGTAAAGAGATCTGGAGTGTATGATCTACATGAACAGAGATGGACAAGCAAGGATCCATAAGCTCTCAGGGAAAAAAAAGCCTTAATGCTACAATAAAGATTGAAGTATCTGTTATCATCCCTGTTCTGCTGCCTGCCTTTTCAGTAACAGGCCACAACTGGGCGCAGAGAAAGTAAGGGGAAGGCTTATCAGGAAGTGTTGACACAACATAAACATGGACTGCGGGCACCACACCAAGAAAGGAAACCACAATTATACCGTTCCTGATTTGGATGCACTTCCACTTTAAAACTTCCAGATGGAGTAGTCGGTGGTGAGACGTGACACTGAAATCTCTAAAGCTCATTCCTCCGCCAAACCCGTTGAAAGGTGGAAAGGGAGAGCGGTCGTCACGCTGGAGACAAATCTTAACAGTATTAAAGCTCTCTCTCCACGGAAAGTTTCCCCACCAGTGCGCTTTTTTTTCCGTAACAAAGATGTTGTCAGAAATGACAATTTTTTGTGTCCCCTGATGATGCCTTGCTAGCATTTGGTTATAAGCCATAAAGCAGGAATAATTTCAGCCTGTCAGGAGTCTCGCTAATGCCCAGTTTCCCCCTAGAGAGAATTCCTGTCAAATCTAATGAGAGCTCCAAAGGCCCTCTCCACAATATAATGAGCACTTAGGCCATGCTGGTGATCAGGCGGCAAAAAGCATCAATTTGAGCCTGGCTACACCCTGGGGGCCAGACGTCACCAGTTTTAATAAGAATTATGATTACTCGCTGCACCAAATGCCTCCTCAGAACTTATTATTAATGTGTGACATTCAGAAGGATGTTTTTCAAATGTAAGGCCACTTTAAACTGAATTACAGCACTACTTTGCACACCACTCTAGTTAAGGGTCTGTCAGCATTTACAATATAAACTAAATTTCAGGGGGGCTTACCACCCTACTACTAAGAACACGGTGCCGCTCAGCTTTTCACATTTTTCAAATTACTGAGCCAATTATACACAGTGTATTATTAATGCACACTGGCTCATGGACAGACAGTGTATACCCACAAGTGCTCAGTGCCACAGTGCACAAACTCGTTAGAAAACTATTTTCACACAAGCGGCTTCTGCCCTCTTCACCTCTTCTCTCTACACAATCAAGGAGAGGTCACCCCACCACATAACCCCTAAGAACCCAGAAGAATTGCACACTTCTTTTAGCTCCCCCAATAAATCCAGCACTCTAGCACACAGAACCACACAGGGATGTTGCTCCCCTGGAAAAAAGTCGAGGTTATTAAATCCTTTTCGTTTAAGAAAAACTCAGTCTCGTCTTACATTTCCAGAATATTTGTTACCAAAATATTTTCCCTTTTAAGATAACATTTAAAAAAAAAAATAGCAGGAGGTTAGACCTTGTCTGCCATGTTTATTTGCATAAATCGTTTAAATGACCATGTTAGCTATAGATCTTCTAGTCCATTTACTATCAACAAGTTCAAGTGCCTCAATAAGGCACTGGCCATTGAAACACACACACACACACACACACAAAGGCACAAGCCCAACACAAACCTAAGCTACCAACTTTGCACATCAGAGTAAAAATCAGCATTTTTAAAGGCCGAATTATATTACTAATGAAAGGCTCTGAACTGAACTCTCATTTTCCAAACACAAATCTGAAAACAGATCTAAGGTACAGGATGATAACATTATGAAATCTATGATGAATTAAAAATCAAAGAGTGCAGAGTTACAAAAGCAGAATTCAACTCTGAAACACACTTGCTTAATGAAAGTCTTTGAATATAAGGAAGATCTGAAGGCTGAACTAATCAATTTCTCCACTGTGCCCCAGCCGGTCAGCCATGCTCTTTAATTTAATGAAACAAGGGTTTGAGATGAAATAGCACATATACATCAAGTAAGAACTGTATTGTTGCACTTTGAAATGTGTCCAACTGTGCAACTTCATCTGATGATAATTTTTTAAGAGGCAATCGATTTCTAAAAGACGTATTGTACCAGCGTCTTGATGAAAAAGTGAATGTCAGCATATCTCCAGAATACTTACACCCTGCCATTAATGCTTTCTTTGGCAGACAATGACTACTCAATCGAGGGTCCTTTGGGCTGAGCAATCATTTAGCTTTTCTTCTCTTATGAGGTCCTTAGTGCCTTGTTCCAGCTCAATACTCTTTTTATACACCATTATAGTAGCCATAAGTGTGAATTTTATGGGAACTTGCAAACTCATAGTCATAGCTAGGGCTTTCCAGTCACTAATCTTTTCATGCTTTTAAAACCACTAGGACTGAAGCAATTTCCAACATATGCTGTGGCCACAAAAGGATGCCTTTTTTTTTTAACCTCCAAACCTGCTTCAACTGACAAGTTTTTTAAAAACATGTTTGCTAATAAGCCATTAATCCTGAGTCTCGCTTACACAGCCCAGAAGTACAGAGTACTCTAGTCAATCACTCAGCTTGCTGAACCTGATCACAGAAACCCTTGAACATGCCCTTTCCCCCAAAGGTGCGCACTTCCTTCCAAAGAGCACAAGCGCAGGCACTGTTCTGAATGTTAGCAGTTCTACAGGATCCTGACATCTTTTCAGAGGACAATAAATCTATCCAGGTAGAAAACTAAATTCAGTCTCAATTTCTCTGCTGCCTAAAAATGGCTAATTCACATTTCCAAAACAGCTAGTCCTGTAAGCACTCTACCCTTGCTGCAGACACTACCACCAACTCACAAGAAAGGCAACCAAGGCCAAAACTGTCATGCAAACTCCCAGGTCCATGACCCACTACTGGGGACTAAGCCAGTATTACAAAATGGTATGAGCTGATTTCTTGTTTCGGCTTAAGATTTATCTAAAGCTTACCTGTTTATGCATTTCAATGTTTAATCCATATGACATTTCATAATACTGTAAAGAGAAGAAAGAACCAGACATTTCATTAACTCACATTTTTTGATGCGAAGAACACATATTTGCTAATATTACATGAAAAAGAACTCCAATCTTTGATACCTACCATCACATAGTGTCTCTGCATTTCTGTCTTTTCACTTGCCAGTTTCTCACATTCCAATTTAAGGCTATGAAAACAAAACAGGCAACTTAATGTAAACATTATGTCACTTGTTTTAACATCTGCCTCACATATTTGCACTTCAAGTAAAAACACAGACCAATTTGGAAAAGCCATAAACTATCTAGGTAAACACCCAAAAGCTTTGTCTCTGTACTTAACAGGAAAAAGGAATGAGGTGAGCAGTACAGAGTATCCCTCAGCCTTTTGCTTCTTCTCTTTGGTGTACACTTGTCAGCTGATCCCTCCTCATGGTCATCTGTGCCCCGTTTCCCGCATCAGAGTCTGTTTCTCTGAACCCCACCAAAATCCAGCCTTTGCACACTTCTGTCCCAGCCTTAGGCCGCACCATCTTTGTCTCCAGGTTTCAAAGTCATACCTGCCAAGTTAGTTCTACAATGGCTGGTCCCTTTCAAAACCGATGGTTTTTAAATTCCTGCCAAAACATGCCAAGCGGGTACTGCCATAAAATGGGCTGAAGTTCTCCCTCATGAGTAAACACGGTATGCACAAGGATGCCTCAAGCCCTAGATACACCACTTATAAGTAGAATAGCGGCCTGATAGAGTAAGAAAATTCACACCCAAATCACCTACCCTCATCTCGAGCAAGAGGAAGCTAAAAATTGCCACTACAGCAATTTCTTAGCTTCAATCAGCCTTAACCTCCCAAGGAGCCAGGGAAAGAAACTAACCTTTCTGAAATACCCACTGTGAACAATCAGTGACTTTACAGATAGCTTTCAGTTATAAATTCCTTGCAGATGGGTATCCTTACATGAAGAAACTGAGGCCGAGATGAACGCTAACTCCACTCAAATCAATCAATTCAGAAGGAAGCCGAAGTGGATGAACTCTCCCCTAACACTCCCCACCTTGTCCCTCTCATCACCAAGGATGGACATAACTAAAAGCCAACTAGCCTCCTTCCCTAATGGACTTTGCCTCAGACAACCCAATTTTCTAGTACGGCAAACAGCGATTTCAACATGGCTTTTGCTTCCCTGAACCCGCACTCCAGGGCTTGAAGGATTGATTGAACCAATGTTTCAGCTCAGCCTGTTGCAAAATAAATACCTGAAGTGCAAATATTGACAGTTCTCATGCAACTCCTAAATACACCAAAAAGGACTCCTTGGAACAGCAGCAAGCCGGCAAGAGGGAAACAATGGGAGGAGGGAGGAGGAGACAGAAGCAGAGCCGGCCCGGGAAGAGCCGGGAAAGGGGGTACCGTGAATGACAGGTCTGAACTGCGACTCCACACGCCACCGCCTGGACGCAAGCACTCAATACAGCCAACGCCACCACCGGGCTGGGCGACCGAGGGGCTAAGGGGCCGCCCGCTCAGCCGGACACGCACCTGTGATACTGCGCCTGCAGGAACTGGAATTCCTCCTTAATCCTGTCCAGGGACTCAGGGATAGTGAACTTGAAGGGTTGGCCTGCAGCCTGGTGCGGCGTCTGGGGGCGATCGGCGATGGGCACCGAGGGACGGGGATGCGGGCGGGCAGACGGATAAAGTCAGGAGAGGCAAGAACGGGTGGGACATAAACAAAAAAGTTAGAGACGGCAGAAAACGGAGACCCAAACTCAAGTCTGAGCTTCACTTTGGGGAGGGGGGAAACGGACCCCCCCACACACTCCCAACCCCCAGCTTCTAAAAAGGCTCGGAAGCTCTTTCGGCCTCCTGGGCAGATCTCGCCAAGTGCTCCCGGGTCAACCCGCCCGAGTAGAGAGGACTGCCTGGCGACCTGGGGGGTGCGGCGTGCGGGGACCAGACCAGAACGTCGTCGTCGTCGCCCCCTCCCCCACGGGGGCGACAATGACCCCGGGGATCGGAGGAGAAAAACAACTCCCTTAAGTCCTCCATTCCCAGAGTCGCCAGGGCCACCTCCGGACGCACCGGAACGGGGGCCGCATTGACATGTAAATAGGCGAGACGAGAAACAAAGGGGGGCCGCCAAACCCGCCTCGGGGAAAAGCGCAGGATGTGGCTGGGGAGAGAAACCCCAGCCTCCCCCAGCGCCCGCGTCCGCCCGGTCTAGACGTCAACTAGGAAGGGGCCCCAGAGGGGAAGGGGGTGGGGTGGGGTGGGGGACTTGAGTTTCAGCTCACTCGCCACCCCACGGAGGGAGGGACCAGGAGCCCCTGGCCTCGCGCCGCCGGGTGCCGGGGGTATACGACAGCCGTCCACCACCCTACTGCACAAGACCGAGTCTCCCAAGCCCCGCGCGCCTGCCCCCACCCACCCGGCCGCGCCTCACCGGGTGCCGGCTCTGCGGGAACATTGCTCTTCTGGCGGCGGCCGCAGCTCTGTTCCCGGGCAACTCAATTCTCCGCTCAATTTCCAACTTTAATCCCGCCGAGGACAATTCAGCCGGGCAGAAGCGGGGAGCGCGCTGGCCACGCACGCAGGCGCGCTCGGCGAGACGCACCGGCCACTCGGCGCCCGCGGCTGCTGCTGCTCCCGCCGGTGCGGGCTCCCGCCCTCAGGGCCACATCTCGGGACGCCCCGGGCCCAGCTGCTCCAAGGACCTGCGCGGCGCCGCCGGCGCCGGGGGGAGAGCGCACAGCGACTGTGCTCCAACCCGCGGGCCTCAGACGCCCGGGGCGGTGAGGTGGAGGCGCGGCGACTCGGGCTGCGCTCCCCTTGGGCGATCCGCGTGCGCGGCGCCCGTCGCGGGCAAACAAATCCAGGCGGGCTGCTTTCCTTCGCTCTTCTCCTGCTCGGTCTCCTCGCAGGGGCGGGCGAGGTGCAGGTGGCGCGGCGCCCCCGGCTCACCTCTCACACACACACACACACACACACAAGGAGCGGCGGCGCTCCGGGCCGACCCCCGCCGGTCCCGGCTGCGCCCCGGAGTCGGGCGCTCTTCGTGGGAGGCAGTAGGGAGCGATCTCAGAGCTGAAGCGGAGGCTCCGAGCCCGGTGGTCCGAAGCCTCAGCCCGGACCGGGCAGCAAGGGATGACGAGGCGGGGAAAGTGCGGAGGGCGCGCCGTGAGGCGGCTCGGCACGCCCCGCGCAACCGGCAATCGGTGTTCTCCGCGGTTGCACAAACCCTCCTGGCCCGACAGAGCTACTCCACGGAGGGCAGTCCCGGAGCCACCCGCTGCTCCTCCAGCCCGGGGCGCATCAGGGCGCCGCAGCCCGTGCGTACTCGCCCCGCACGGCCGCTCCGGACCCTTCTTCTTCGGCCCTCTTCCTTTCCTTCCCCTCGTCTGCCTCTCCGTGAAGGGCGCTCCAGCCCGCTGCAAAGTTCCCTCACGACCCGAGGAACGACATCCACGAGACGGTGGGGAGAAGAGCAGGAGTGCGCTCCGCCGCTCGGCCTCCCGCCCCGGCGGGCAAACTCCGCCGACGAGTCCGAGTAATCCCGGCGGGGCTCGGGTCTCCGCGCGCGGGCCAGCGGAGGTCCGAGCTGAGGGCTCGGGTCTCGCCCGGCCGTGCGAGGGCAGGGGGGGTGGCGCGATCGGTTGCCTCGGGGACGTGGGCACAGGGTACCCGCCGCCGCCGCCGCCGCCGCCGCTGCTCCTACAGCCGCCGCCGCCCGCGCCTCTCGCACCGGTTACATTAACACGCGGTTTCACACTCCGGAGCTAACCAGCGCCGGCCCCGCCCAGCCCCGCGCGGGCGGGGGCCGCGAGCTCGGAGCCGGCGGGGGACGTGGGCCCGGGAGGCTGCCGGGGGAGTAGGGGGGCCCGCATCAACCAATCGCGTTCGCCGCGCCCAACGTGGGGCACTGACGCCACGCCTCCCTCGAGCCTATGGCGGCGCCGCGCCGGACTGGCCGTGCCTCCCGCTCCCCCTGCGCCCTCCCCGCTCGCTTCCATCTCCGCCGTCTCCCCCGTCTCCCCTCCCACCCCCTCCGCCCCTCCTCCGCCAGCCGCGTCCTCCCGGGCTCGGGGAGGAACTGTTCCTGGAGGAGCCGCGGGACTCCAAAAGCAGCCAATGAGAGGCGGCGCGACGCGGAGATTGGCACGAAGGATGGGAAGGTCGGTGGGAAGGAGAGCGGCGGGGCCGGGCTGTCAATCAAAGTAACGTGGGCCCGGCTGGGGAGCGCGCGGGCGCGCGCTGGCGGGAGGGACCCGTGAGCGTGCTGCGGCGGAAGCCGGGGGCTTGAGTTTGCCGAAATCCTGCCACTTGTTCACTTTGCGCTCTAGTGCGAATCTTGTGGGCTCAGTAAAAGTAACTCGGGGGCTCACGGCGTAGTCTCGCCTTGGGGGCGGGAGGGAGGGGTTTTTTTGGTCATGCGAGCAAAATGGTTTTTTGTGTGGTGGCCTCTTGTCTGATGCTGCTCCTTGAAAGCGAGGTCACATTCAGAAATTCCTCAGAGCGTAGTCCTTTCTTGAGCCGCCTCTCCCCGGTGCACAGGAGTGGGCTGTACACTTGGCGGAAAACGCATAAATGAGCAAAGCTTAGTCGGCGTGGGTCTGCCCGCCGCCGGAGCCCCGACTGCGACGCCCGCGGCCACCTCCGCCCTCCCCGTGCGCCCAGCGTGGTGGGATTTGGCCTTTATTGAAGGATTCCGGGCCACTTTGTCGAAAGGTCGGCCTGCCTGCGTTTGGCGGGCGGGATACCTAAGGTGCCGCCGGCGTGAGGGCACGCGCGTCTCGTGCGCTGAGGGGATGGCTTTGCCCGCGGCGCGAAATCCCGGGTTTTGTTTTTTCTCTCAGGAGTCCTCTGGCGGGGGAGAGGGTGGCTGTGGGGGTCTTAGGAGCCGCTCCTCAACCAGACCAGGAATCTTTCCAATTCCTGGAAACAGAGGGACAGACCAGCATCGGGACCTGAAAAACCTGTCGGGCCCAGCCCATCCCGTGGCCTGGGTGCTGCTCGTGGCCGAGCCGTAGACTCTACGGCTAAATGACGTGGCCTGGGCTGTTAGAGGGGCAGCTGGGGATGCAAGGGACTTGGAGCTTTTACAGGAACGAGAGGTGCTCCGTATTTAGTATTGTGAGTCCGCTGTTTTTGTCTTTCTCGAAATACACCACACAGCAGAAGACCTTCAGTACTGCCGCAATGATACCTTTCTGCTTACATATATGTACTTTTCTTTAAAGAACAGTTCAGTGAAACTGTTTCCACGTCATGAGCAGTGAGTGAATAATGCTCTTCTAGCCAAATGATGGTAACGTCTTCCACGAGGCGGGCAAATCACCGACAAGTGTTACTGTTTCCTTGGAACCTAGATATTGGTGTTAGAAACCACGCGTTCCCGTTATTTTACCTTCGAGAAACTTAGGGGAACGAGTTTATTTAAGCACATATACGTTTTATTCAAAGATTTGCTTTTTACAGAGATCTTTTTGTTGAAATATTAAAAGAGTCATTTTAGCTAATACATTTCACTGGCGTTTTTTAAATATGTATGATATTGATTTGTCTATAATTGCATCAATCCCTAATATCAATTATAAATGAAAAATAAAAGAGCTATTTCAGCCAGCCTGTGCAAGGCCATAGTATGCTCTTAAACAAGTTCAGGGTTCTAGCTCTGCAGTTTTCTGAAGCGGAGTTGAGAAAGGGGCTATACTGGTCTTGTTAACATGGAGAATGAAAAGGAAGTCCTGCCTCTCTTTCCTTAGTTAAATGTGGTGATGATGAAAGCAGGCTTGCTCCACGTGTAGGACCTAAAGAAATTATGATTCATGGTCGACTAAACTTTCTCCTTTGGCTTCCTGTGTTTGTGAAATCATCATCTAGTGATTGGGCTATACACGCCAATCTGTGGTCCGTTCAAACCGTAGGACTAGGTGGAAAAATGCTTGGGTGCACGAAGTATGCTTGTGCACATGCAGGGATACCTGGGGTAGCTCTCCCTGGCTTCCCCAAACTTTACCTGGTAGGATGTATCTTGATCAACTGGAGCATACTGCTAATTAACCAGAAAACTTAAAACATAATATTTGGGGACAGGAGTGAACCATTTCTAATGGGTTGTTGCTGAATGTTCTCTGATAAAACTGATCACAGAAAATGTTTCTGCACATTATTTCCCAGTTTGCTATGAATAAAAACTGAAAATTTTCTTTCAACTAGTGCTTCTGTACCAGTAGTTTAGAGCCAGGCCAGGCCTGTGGTTTTCTTATAATGTGTAGTATTAGGAGAAAAGAAAGAGCATAATGGTTTTTGAACCAGACGCCTTTAATTGAGTGCATAGAAGTGGTTGGTTTTCTAAGGCTTCTTTCTCATTCAGAGCATCCTCCTTGAGAGCTGGAGAAGCCTCTGCCCTTTTTCAAGGTCGTATTTTCTCCAGGATTGTCATGCTGTAATAATTATACTACAAAACTCTCATCAAACTGCATTACAAATGATGGTGTTTAAACAATCAAGTAACTTTAATCTTATGTTTTAAATAAATAATATACGTGTAGATTGCCTACAGCATGTTTAAAAGAAAATAGACCTACTCATGAAATCTATAATTTTGGTCTTCTATTTAATGTCTGTTAACCATAATCTTCTTTACCTCTACCAAATTTATACAGCAATGACGTTTTTACATGGAATAATATTAAGGACACTGCTTCCATGGGAAATTGTCTCTTAAAATATGCCCTTTATTATCCTCTGCAAAAGCAGCAAAATATTGTCACACTGTACAGTTTACCTCGATGCATATGTGGGCGTATTTTCATTCATTCGTCGTTACTATCAGATTTTCAACTCATTAACAGCATAAGTAATTACAAAAGCTGGATATTGTATAGTACAAATAGGAAAATTATGAATTCTAGTCATAGAAATTAGGCATCCTTTAAATCTATTATTTGAAATAAATATTTCAGTTATTTGTAGCTTGTTTTTAAAGACCACTTTTGTCATTTTCTCTTCCTTTTGACTGAGTTATTGCTTGTACTTCTTTTTTCTCTTGACTTTTTTAATTGAAAGTTTTTCTTAAAGCTAAGAATAGAGTGTCCAGAAGACATCTTCCTAGCATTGCTTGGTAACCTTTTTCTTGCCCACCCCACTACCATAGAAATAAATAGGATGGGCAGGCATGGATGTGGAGGGGAGAAGGCAGACAAGGAAAAACAATCAGTAGCAGATCCATGAGGCAGTAAAACCTCAAATAAAATCACATCCAAAGAATCTCTTGTGGTTTCACACAATATGGTAAAATTAGAGATTGCAGGAAACCAACTAAATTAAACCGGGAGCATTTGAAGAGAAATGAGCAGACTTTATGAAAATGACACATTGACTGACCAGTATGCTTTTTTATCAACAATTTCTTTGTTAAGACGCAGATCAAAGGAACCTGCATATGTTTTCATTTTGTTCTAACTAGAAAATCACATCCAGATGTTTAATAGGCATTTGGTTGGTTTTTCAGCATTGATTAGATATGTTGGTTCTGTTTGCTTACAAGTGTAGCCGGATCATTAGCTAATGCAAAGAAATGTTTG